CGTATGCCTGCATGTCTACTCGCCAGGATTGGGAGGTGCGGCCGTACAACTCTGTGTGCAGCGACCGTACAAACAGTGACCAAACATCAACCTCTGTTTAACCTAATCCCCCATCCTGATCATGAGTAGCTCCCTGCGTGTAGACTTTATCCGCAATATACGTCCTGAATAAACGTGCTCCTTGCTACACGTCTGTTTTCTTTATAGCTGGGCTATGGCTTAGCTGGTTCTGGGAGTCTAGCTAGATGTAGGAGGATCTGCCATAGAGATTTCTGAGTCAGTCAGGCTTTAATAAAGTAGCGATCCGCTACAGAATAAAGCCGAAGTCTAATGATGCTTGTTAATGAAATAAGGATGTTATGATTTGATTTAATCAAATTCTGGAAGTACAAGATTGGTCGATTTTCGATTTTAGAAAATTCCAAACTTTTTATGGTTTGATTCATGGGCTCTTGAAAGAATTCATGTCCACGATACTCTCGTGCGTTGACTGAATTTTTGAATAGTTGGTTATTTTATTTTAATTCATTTATATCTATTAATTCTTCATTAGTATCTCATTATTGAAGGTACATTCGAAATGGAATCTTGAAAACTATACAATCTGCCTTGTGCCAATCTTAAAAATCCAATTATTCCGCACATTTAAAGATCAGGATTTGAGAGGAGATCATTGGTTTAGCTGAATGTCAGCACAACATAAATTAATGGAAATGGATTATCAAGAGGCGAACGCAGAGATAGAAGGCTGCGATCACAGAAACAAAAAATTTAATAAGAGTTTGTGGAACTGATAAACGAGAATCATTCAGTAGAAGATAAGACTATACCCTTTAGACGGCACTGAAAAAACTACGGTTGGAAAATGCAGAACACAGCAAGTTGAGTTTGTTAACTTGCAACAAATAAGCTGCGATTAAAATTCGAAAGTATGAGATATGAGAGATTGAACAGAGAGGAGATAAGACAAACAGATAACTGACAAGTGCGCGTTTTTTAGTGGAAATACAAAGATACATTGCATGAATCACTAAGCAAAGGAGCGTGGAAGTAAGAAAAAGGAGTTTTCACAACTCCGCTGAGTTGTAATAGTAGGAGAAAAAGTCTTTGAGACGAAGGCACAACTGCTAATAGTATCAAATGGTACCATACAGACCATGATGAAAGAATAAATTTGAAACGTACATAGAGGATTATTCTTTAAGCTTTAAGTGAGGTTCGTTGTTTAATTTAATGCACGATAGTTAAGATTAAGCATTAAAATTTAGTTATTCATGGAATTGGAATAATCATTGTGAACTATGAGACATATAATTACGTAGTTATTGCTCTCAATGAATTTAAAATCTTTGGATATGCTACACCAGCATAAAGGTCATTAAAAATTTATTTGAGAGGCTAATTTAGTAGATTACTTACGAACAAAACGGGCAATTTTCGACTACCCAGAGGGAGATTGTTTTTTGTAAAATAAAGGCATATAACATTAAAAACTTTGTTAGTATTCTAAAAAATTGAATCGATTTATTTTGATTTATTCAAAATAGGTTTTGAAAATAGGACAGGCAAATGATAACGATGTCCTACCCTATATATATATATATAACAATTAAAGTAAAATATATCCTTCTTGTTAAATTTTAAGCATTTTAAGTTTATTTAAATATTTAAATTGTATAATCTTATATCTTTTCTGAGTATTTGCATGAACTAATATTTGTTTAATCGAATTAACTGATTCACTTCATTGGTCATTAGTATCTCTACCCACTATAAATTTCCCTAGCGTTATCACTTGCCCAGAATCGCGCAATGCGGTACATTGTCTCATTCCTGCTTGTTTCCTTCTTCCTCGCGAATGCCAAACCCCACCCAGAACGAAGGGTAGGATGAAATAGATTTAATTAATTCCTCCTCTAGGAATTGAGTGAACACGACCATAATGAAGAAAACCCCGAGCTCCATAATCTCAAGTTCGATCATGAAGCATTCCTTGGTAAAGAATTAGCCGCAGAATTCGATAAGCTTACAGATAAGGAATCCAGAGAACGTTTAACGTAAGCTTCTAGATTAAAAATATTTTGGGTTTCTAGTGAAATCTTCAAGAAGATTGATCAAGATGGGGATAAAGCTGTCTCAGAAACTGAGTTGAAGCGATGGATTTCTTTCGTTTCCAAGACTGCGGTTCGCGCTGACGCCAATCGTCACTGGAAGAATCTTAACGCAAACAAAAATGAACCTCTTGCATGGAGGGATTACCTCGAAAGGACCTATGGTGTTGAAGAAGGTAGGATAGATAATTGTTGTATATATTTGAGCATAACTAGTCATGGAGGTATGACATGACTGAATGAATACTTTTAGAATTGTAATTAAAACTCCCGGATTACGTAAATTTTGATGAAATTCCGCTTACCATGCGTCTTGCAAGTTTGCCATAGGCGTAAATTTACATTTAACTGAAAATTACAACCTCCCCATACTAACCTTCGCATTTTTTGATTACCATGATTTCAATTCCGGAATTGATTCTTTTGCTTAAATTAATTATCCTTATTTGCCATCATTAGTTAAGGCCCTTGCTATGGTTTCTGTGCGTTTTGAAAACTCATCTGTATACGGTTCCCTTATCGTTATTGTCTTGAGAATAAAGCATCACAGAATATTCTGATTTACAAGTCTGTATCGTATTCTATCCATCATTTCTTCAATTTAATCAATGTTACAGTCATTTGAATAACTGTATTATATCAGAGGGGAATTTTATTACTACTCTTTGATCCAATCTTTTCTTTACTTCTTGACCGTCATTTCTCAAAGTGTTCCTTTCATTTGGATAACCTCTTCTATATAGGCAAATAGGAAATTTGCAATTTTTTCTTATCTAAATTCGCCAACGTGGCAACAGTCGCATCATCATTTCTGCACAGTAAACTTTGCAGCTGCACACTTCGCCTCTGATTGGTTACTCGCGTTGTCCACGTTTCATCTTTCCCCAGTTTGGTACCACCGCACTGGCCTTTTCTCTAATTGGTTGAAAGTAGGTCAGGGCTGACTGGCTTTGCCACGTTGATGTCTATCCTAGTATTCGTGGCTGTGATACTTCATAAGCACAATTCCCTAGTCATTTATCACTACGCGCTTTTCTAAACTAAAGTTGGAAATATATATATAATTTATTTCGAAAATAAAATTAATGGTTATTGAGGCACAAGTTTATTGGGAGAAAATATTTTCCCTAAACTCTCCTTGGTCATAGAATTATTTTCCTCGAAACCTACAAATCAAAGGCTTATTTGGATGCTGGTACGATTGTCCATGTCATTCACTTGCTGTACACTGATGAATGTCCAACTCGTATTCATGCCAATTTTCCTATCTTGCAGAAATTTCTTCTGATCCCGAACGTCATGCTCAATACATCAAGATGAAGAGGGCTGATGAACGACGTTGGAATGCTGCTGATATGAACTTCGATAACAAGCTCAGTTTGGATGAATACAGCGCCTTCCTTCATCCACAAGACTACCCTAGAATGCGCAACGTGGTCGTTGAGGTAAGCTATCTTCCCAAGTGTCTATTTACGTCTTCATGTCATCTGACTACAACACCAGCCTTTTCATTACTCAGGAAACACTTGACAGCGTGGACATAGATAAGGATGGCTACATCTCAATTAATGAATACCTTGGTATGTCTCAAGGAATGTATCGCATGTGGTCCTTTATAATTTCATTTACACTATGAAGAAGACTAAAAAATTGCAGCATGTGCATGAGTTTCGGCATGAATTTTTTATCATGGTAGGAGTTTGACTTTCTAGTTTGCTATACTTTAAAACGTGTACTTAAAGATGAGAATTTTCCTTCCAGCTGATCTAGCCAGATCCTTTGGCAGACAATTTGACCCCAAGGGACCTCTTGATGATTGGGGACAAAAGGAGAAGGAACAATTCTTGGCCCACCGTGACAAGAACGGTGACAAGCGTATGGATAGACAGGAAATCGGTGAATGGATCATGCCAACTGATTACGATCCCGTTGAAGCTGAAGCCAAGCACCTCATCTATCATGCTGATGACGATAAGGTACGTAATTGGTATCACTTCTCTAAATTATTTCTACTTAAAGCAGATTAAGTAGCTGTAAGTGTTAATGGGTTTTCTCCTATTTTATAGGATGGAAAATTGCAAGAGAAAGAGGTTCTTGAGCATCAATCTTTGTTCGTGGGCAGCCAGGCGCTCAATTATGGACGTCCTCTCGGACACGAGGAGCTCTAAGTCTTTATATCATTCTCTTTCACCGCATTTCACCTTGGCCTTAATTTCACACCTACTCAATATATGTTAATCATTACTAATATGTGCAGTTACAATTAAATATCTTCTAGTTCTTCACATTTCTATCTAATATAACCTTTTTTCTTAAAATTGTTGTGAATTGTTTGGAAAATGAGCAGAACCTCGTTTGGGCCTTATTTATGACTTGGCGGTATTATCTTTTGGAAGAAGCTGTAGTTGCCATTGAGTAAAAGTCGTTAATATCACTGATAAGCATACAAATAAGCAAAATTGCCTAGATTTTGATGGTTGATGGAAGCAATCGAAATCGGTTAACACAAATTCGACTAAGAGACATGGGGGGGGGAAGATTCTCAAATAGACGCCAAGAGAGAAACCATGTTTTCTTAGGGGTGTGCGATAGACTTACCCCCACGTGGTGCAACCTGGGCAACATATATTCATACGGCAAAAAGTTTATTAACTGGCAATTGACTTCTCACTTCAAACTATCATCACCTCACTATATGTCATATTCGACTATTTTCACAGTACTCACCTCACCTTTTTTTACCTGTCTCTTACATCTTTGAAACACTCTTCTGTTCCCTCCTCTCGACTTTTTTCACTTTGATGTTCCTTCCCCTCTGTGAAGCCTGTAGTCAACTAAAGGGCTAATGATAACCATCAAGACGCCTGCCATTTGATATAAATGAATGTTTTTTATTATATTTGATGTTCGGGGTGTACAGCATTTACAGAATGATCATATTACATGATTCGTCTCATTGATCGGAGGAGACGACGGTGCTCATGGTGGCCTATCTTGCTCCTTCAGTTTAATTATCCTTC